AGAGGAAAGCATTTGTTGTAAGGGAAGTGAGGCTTTATCTGGTGGAAAGAAGTGAAAAATTAAGCTTTGCAGCAGAAAAGACCCCCAAAATCTTCTTTATCCAGTGGAACAGCAGTAGCCCACAAATCAGTGGTCTGAATAGAAGATAGGAGATGTACAATTTGTAGCGATACAACCATGTAATATATATTAAGAAAAAAATAGTTGGCTTTTGCTTCAAATACTTAATTAGTATAATTTTAGAATTGCCATTGACATGGTCATGCATGAATTCTCAGGGGAAAATAAGTTCCTTCTTGGGCAAGACCTTGGGAAATTAGTTACGTGAGTGATTGTATGATGAAGGATGCAAGCAGCAACTCCTGAGCAGTAGCATTTATACCATTGCCTGACGTAGCTCAACACTAGGATTCTGGCCAGTGATTGTTGGGTGTCTTTGGTGAAGGCTGTCTTTAGTGAAAAGAAAGCTTTATTTGTGTACAATATGTTTAATGAAGAGGAGACATGGTATCTGCTCCCACTGATTACATAACTAAAGTTTTATTTATCTCTTATAAATCCAAGTGATGCAAACATGCATGGAGAGGAGCAACTAGCCTTGCCCTGGAAGAATCCTGCTTGCACGTTGGCTCTATAAACAATTGTAAAAGCTGAGTTCTTGCTCTCATGTATTGCTTATACACAAGCAGGACCCTTCTCTTCATGTCCAGTACTGACATTTTGAACACAATAACAGAGTGGGACAGAGCTGTACACTTCCCTGTAGCTGTGATTGTAACACCAGCTTTTGCAGCATCTTAAGAGAAGTTTAAAAGAGAGAGAAAACAAACATATGAAAGGAAGCGAAACCATTATTGAGTATATCCTAGAGGAGACAAAATGGGTTTGCTTCTGTGGAAAATTTTCAATGAAAATTCCAAAGTAACATTTATCCCACATTGCTGAGTGAGTTAATAGCAACTAGAGATGATTTTGGAGCTTTACAATCTCCAGAATTATTTATTTTATGTTGTGTTGGCTATCATAAAAAGGCTTTGCATTTTCTGGAAAGGTGTTGTATATGGATTCTAATGAAACAAACAGCATTGCAAGTTAGAATATAATATCTTCTTTGAGCCCAGACATTTAAATGAAAATTATAGTCAAAATACAGTCCTTTGCTTTGTGCCTGACAGTAGGCCAAGTCCAGGGCATGTATGTGTGGTCGAAACAGGAAAGATGTAAAGCATGCATTTTGTCAGTCAGTGACACAAATCTAAGAAGTGCTTATTTCAAAGATTCAGCAGCAATATTTATTTATTTTTGTGTATTCACAACAGCACAGTTGGCTCTTTCTTTGCCCCTGCTAATGTGTTTGCAACTGTTTTACTTTTCTGTAGGGAAAAAATACCCTTGCTTTTCCTAAAACTGAACTATTTGAATTCACATGCTTTTATTGGATACCTTGACAATCATCTGAAATGTGTATTGTTTGAATATGTGATGCACATATTCTTTATTCTTTTATATTTTTCATTGAAAGTAAGAATGTTATGTATCCAAAACTAGCCTTTTATGGACTCTATAGAGATCATTTATTGATTTCTGCCCAAATACTTCCCTCTTTACTAATCTATTAATACAACCCTCTATACTGCATTCCTTTTGTTTACTCTGGGACAGCATTAGTTAATGCTCTGTAAAAAGTAGAACCTGGATTATGACAATATTTTTCTTGTCCACTAAACCAGCTGCTCTCAAAAGGAGAGATTAGATTGGTTTAACCTGTCTTGTTCTTAAGAAATCCATCCTGGCAGCTAGCAATTTCCAGGGGCATAAATTGATTGCCTTACAATTTGGTCCAACCATTTTCCAGGTGTTGAAGTCAGACTAATGAGACTATAGTTCCCCAGGTTACGTTGGCTTCAATACTCAGGAAATTGTTAGAACAAATTATAAAGCAATCTGTCTAGAAACACTGTAAAGAAAAGGAGGTTGTTTCTGAGGAATCAGTTAGCTTTGGTGCAAACAAGCTTAATTTTCTTCAACTTTCCTCCTGACGTTCAGGAAGAAATTCATGTCAAAATGTTATGTAGTCCATAAAGAATATACACTAAGGAGGCTTTTTACCCTGCAGTTTAGATTTGGCATGGATGAAGTGGCATCTAAAAATGGCAACTACACAATGTAAAGCTAAGCATGAGAATCCCAGTTACTGTACATTTTGTTTTTTAGTGGAGAATCAACTGCAGTTACTGTACATTTTGTTTTTTAGTGGCGAATCAACTGTTTTTGTTTAGCCAGCAGGGGGTGGTTTATTTTACTCCAAGGTGGCTGCATTGCTTTTCTCTGCCATGCGTGCCTGAAGGGGCAGTTGCAAGAGTGTCAGTTCCCATCAACTAATGTCTCCAAACAGTGTTTCTTTTTTTAAAAAACAAAATGTTGTAAAGTTAGCACTGCATCAGATCAATGCTATGTCTGTTTAAATTTTTTAAAAATTAAAAAGAGGCAAATAGAAAGGATGGTGCTGAAGAAAATTGCTATCTCATTTCTGTCTCTGTCCCTGCTGATTTCTGTAACATTTAATTTTTATTTATTATTTCTTCAAAATATTTATATCCCACTTTTTTTTCCTAAAAAGGACCCAAGGCAACTTACAGTATTAAAATAAACAATATTGAAAGCTAAAAATAATGAATTATTGCAATATTTAAAATGAATTAAACAAATATTATATTGAAACTACTAGCTAAAAACACTTCTAAAAACTAGAGATGTGCATAAGCACTAAAATTAAGATATGGAATTCAGATTCAGAATTTGGAATTACAGCCTTTCCGATCTGGAATTTGGAATTTTAATAATATGGAATTTCTAAATGTCCAGAACTCTGTCACAATCAATATGAATACTATATAGTCATTATTTTCCCCTTTAAAAAAAATCACAGACACACAACCTTTTTAAAAGGATTTTCCTGTATCCTCACAATCCTAGTGATTGTGCCAAACAAAATGTGTGCACACCAGAGCCAGCGGTGCACAGGTATTAGGAAATGACTATAATGAGCATACAATGATTGAGAAGGATCTTGGAATGGTTGGTCACAACAGTGAGTCAACAGTGCAATTTGGCTGCCAAAAAAAAATAAAAAGCTATTTCAAAAAAAAAAGAAGAAGAAGAAGAAGAAGCTATTTCAGGCTGCAAATTCCATGAAATACTAGTTCCTCTCTGTTCAATACTACTTAGGCCTCATCTTGAGTACTGTGTCTAGTTCTGGACCCTTTGAAAAAGTATAGTCTCCAAATTCCATGAAGTACTAGTTCCTCTCTGTTCAACACTACTTAGGCCTCATCTTGAGTACTGTGTCTAGTTCTGGACACCACCCTTTGAAAAGGATGCAAAAAAACTGGGACAGGTTCAGGATGATGACAGGTCTGGAATCCAAGCCTTATGAGGAAAGACTAAAAGAACTGAACACGCTTTGCTTTCAGAAAAGAAGCCTGAGAAGAGATATGATAGCACTTTTCAAATACTTGAAAGGCTGTCATACAAAAGAGGAACAAGATCTGTTCACTTTTACTTCTTCCTCTAGCAAGCAGAAACCTAGCCTTTTGCTTTCTCATCTATAGGAGAAATTGTGACTTTGAATATTGGGAATTATTATTACAGATATGTGGAACTATCAAATTCATATTCAAATATTCAGAACTATACAAATATGAAATCTCTGGAATTCCAAATATTTCCAAGTCCGAATTCACATTCTTACTAAAAACCCATTAAAAGCAACAAAAATACTACAGCCCTACTTAAAAAACTGCTTAGATAGCCACTCGTTAGGAAAAAAATTAACCTGAAGAGAATGGTCTTTGCCTGCTTGTGGAAGGACAGCAAAGATGGGGACAGGGTTTTGGAGTTCCAGAATCTGAGAGCAGCAACAGAGAAGGCCCTCTTTTGTGTGTCTAATAAACACATTTCTAAGGGTGGTGTGACAGAAAGAAAGGCCTCACTGGTGATCTTACAATCTGGGCAGACTCAAAGGGAAAAGGAGTCTTTGAGATAGCTTGGACTCATTGAGGGCTTTGTAGGTTAAAGCAGCACTTTAAGTGGTTCTAGAAACAGGCAGGCAGCCAGTAGAGCTGTGGTAACAGAGTGTCTATCTGCCTGCCTATGCATTTTGGACCCATTGCAGAATTTTCAAATACTTTCCAAAGGCAGTCCTTTGTAGAATGTGTTACAGTAATCCAACCAGGGTTCAACTAAGGTCAGTGTCATGTCATGTAAAATTGGTTTATCTGTATATCTATTGTATGATTTTAATGTTGTTAGCCGCCTAGAGTGGTCCTGACATGACCAGATAGGTGGGATATAAATGAAATAAATAAATAAATAACCAGGATTCAACTAAGGTCAGTGTCTCATGTCCCGATCAGACAACTACAGGAAAAGTTGTAACTAGGACACTAGTTTTAACTGGTCAAATGCTCTCCTGGCCACCATCAAAATCTAGGCTCAGAGACAAATCCAAGAGCACAGCCAAGCTGCACACATATGTTTTAAGGGAAATATAACCCCATCAGAAGACATGAGCATTGTTTGTATTCGTCTAGATTACTACAGTTCAGAATAATGTGAGTATGATCAAGCATGTGGGGATTCACTTTAGTTTTGCTGACTTATTTCAACCATGGTCTTATTACTCTTTTAGATTTGCAAAGACTAACAGGATAAGAGAATGGTCTTTGCCTGCTTCGAAAGCATGCAAATGCAAGTAGATAAATAGGTACCACCACGGTGGGAAGGTAACGGTGTTCCGTGTGTAGTCGCGCTGGCCACATGACCATGGAAACTGTCTACGGACAAATGCTGGCTCTATGGCTTGGAAACGGGGATGAGCACTGCCCCCTAGAGTCGGACATGACTGAACTAAATGTCAAGGGGAATCTTTACCTTTACCTTAACAGAATCATAGGTGTTTAAATGGGCATTCACTGTATCATTCTATGGTGTTTCTACAGGTAACCTCTGGTGGAAGAGCAAATTATTATGTATCGTACAAGAGGGAACCCTTCACACAAATAAAATTACCCAAGTATTCATTACCAAAGGTAAATATGTCTTTTGCAAGTAGTCTTGATATCCACAAAGACTTTTACAGGAAGAGATTTTTTTCCCCAGATTGTATTTTAGTATTTCCCCCTTCATTTTGAACTTCTTTGTTTATGACATTTCTGTTCATTCATAGTCTTGAACCATGCCTGCACAACTCATCATGGTGGGTAAATACTCCCTTTGCAGGTGGTCAGTAAAATAAGAAGGGCTAGCAAGCGTCTGTTGGGCCATCTCACATTGTCAGTGAGCTGTGTTTAGCTGAGAGGGGGAAAATACCAAGACACTATGAGGAATTTGTGTTTCCTCTGATTAACCTCTTTTCCTTTTTGCAGTGGAATTTCCTTAGAATTACATGCCTTTGCAATAAGTTTTGCAAATTAAGTTAATGTTTACCTTTCACTAACCAGTCACAAAACAAAACATGCTGAGTGCTATAAAAGAAGTTGCAGAAAATCACATGCTATGACCCATGTCTTTTACCACGTAAAGCAGACAGTTTTTAAAAAATTGTTCATTGTCTAATTTGACCCGGAGGACAGGTGTTGCTATGGAACAAATGTTGCTTGTTTCTTCTGGGAAGCAATCTGAATCTAGGCATGGGATGGATTGAAGTTTAAATTCCATTCTTATAGTTGGAGCTGAGTGTGTCTCTTATTAAAATCTCACATTTGCTGACCTGGCTAGCTTGACAGTGGAGCTTTCTACATCTCCTGGGTAAAAGGAACCCTTAGGCTCTGAGCCTGCGAATCGTGGAGGAACAATAAAACATCCAAATGTATAAATAAAAAATGAAATAAGATGAAACTCCTTCAAGGACTCTGGAATCTCTTTCCTCTTTTCCTGTCTTCTCCCCTGCAGCCATTTTAAAATTAAAAACACACAAATAAGAGAGCCTGAATAAAGTAATTTATTGGCTTGATCTAATGGAAAATTGTTTAACATCACTCATAACTCATGGTCCTTTCCCTGCTGTGGCATAAGTCATCGTAATTGCTTTGTGTCCCAAAGGGCAGAGAAATATAAAGATCAGGGGTAATAATCCTTTTATCTTCCTTAACAGGACATGCATATTATCAGCACAGATGAGAATCAGGTGTTTGCTGCAGTTCAGGAATGGAACCAGAATGACACATACAACCTTTACATCTCTGACACCCAAGGGGTCTACTTCACCTTAGCCTTGGAGAACATCAAGAGCAACAGAGGACTGGAGGGGAATGTCGTTATTGACCTTTATGAGGTATGCATCCAAAGTCACCTTGGGGCAACCTTTCATCTTGTAAGGGTAAATATCACTTCCCAATAGGATTGGAAGTTAATTTAAAAATTGTATTTTGTGTTAACTATCAGAGAGATAGGCAGAAGATACATCTAGCCTTCCTGGTGGGTCTGTGGTTGATACGCAGTTGATCAGCAATGACTTCTTACTCCCAATAAGAGCAGTAAAATGTTTTCATCCACTGCCCTAAATTATACTGCTGAAATAAAGAAAGCCTAGGGGTAATCAAAACCAAGGGAGTTTTGCATTGGACTATACTACATGTTTAGCTCTGGTGCTAAGAAAATGTCTGTAGGCTCAGAATTGATGCATTCAAAATGTAAGTCTTTTGCACAAGGTTCCAGGTGGTAGATCTCAGGGTTCTTCTTTTAAAAAGCAAAGTAGATCTTATTTATTTTCTTTTGTGCAGTTCATTTTTGTTCCCCTAAGCTCTAGCTGATTGCAGCCTCTGGTTGCAGAGCCAGAGGCTAGGTGTTCGAATTTATATTATGGTTCATGGGAGTAGGGCCGCATGAGATGTGGGGTGCGTGAGGAGGCTGCACAGTGCTAGAGTGACACCAGAAGGAGGGACTGGCAAACTACTATCTGAATATTTTATTCCCAGAAACCCCTGGCAGAGTTGTCATAAAATCCAAATCAATGAGAGTACCTCATTGCTGTTAAACTCTACATTCAGATGACCTTTCAATCAAAAGCTCATTAGCCAAACTTCAGAAATATTTAAGTATACTGATACCAATAGCCACGAGTCTTTTAGCATACTTTGTTCTCTGTAGTGCGACCTTATTTTTTTTCTCTTTTTCTGTATGCTAAGTATATAGTAGGATGCTTCTCCTGAGCCTTGTAATTCCAGAGGAGTTTGTGAAAGTGAAAGGAAGTTAATATGGGGAAGGAGAGAGAGAAGAAGAAGAAGAAGAAGTGATGGATGGATGGATGGATGGATGGATGGATGGATGGATGGATGGATGGATGGATGGATGGATGGATGGATGGATGGATGGATGGATGGATGGATGGATGGATGGATGGATGGATGGATGGATGGATGGATGGATGGATGGATGGATGGACTTGCCTTAACTGAGATATACTTGGATCATTAGTGGTCTTTGCCTGATACCTTTTTTATATGTTGACAATCATGTAGTTATATGGTTGATACTCCTAGGAGTTTTTCCTGTTTGTTTTTACTGGCAGTTTTTGTTACATTTTGAAATCTCAAATGAAAAGTAAAGTTTACTGAAACCTTACAAGGCAGACTAAGTTTCCAGATCTTTCTGCAATGTTGCTGTGGCTATAAATTCATCTTAAATTTGTCATCATATGTCTCTGTTTCTTCCACTGACTCTTCTTATAACCCTATCTTAACATAACTAGTCACTTGCATCTAAATACAATAAATAAATATAACTAGAATGTTGAGAAATCTTTAGAAGGGTGTCCTGATTGTTCTAATGTTTTAATATCTGTCAGTGAGTTAATTATAAGATGAATCAAGATTATTTTGGATCTCTACAAGTTCCATTAGAAAAGCCAATGCCAGATGTAGTCTGAACACAACTATCCTGTTCAGGCATAAGGAAAATAACAAAGTTATCTGATAAAGTTATACAGTATATCACAGAAGTGAGTATACCCACTCACAGTTCATAAATATTTTAGTATATCTTTTCATGTGACAATACTGAAGAAATGACACTTGGCTACAATGTAAAGCAGTGAGTATACAGCTTTTATAACAGTGTAAATGTGCTGTCCCTTCAAAATAACGCAACACACAGCTATTAATGTCTAAACCACTGGCAACAAAACTGAGTACGCCTCTAAATGACAATGTCCAAATTGGGCAAAGTGCCAATATTTTGTGTGCCCACCATTATTTTCCAGCACTGCCTTAACCCTCTTAGCCATAGAGTTCACCAGAGCTTCACAGGTTGCCACTGCAGTCCTCTTCCACTTCTCCATGACAATATCACAGAGCTGGTGGATGTTGGGGACTTTGTGCACCTCCACCTTCCATTTCAGGATGCCCTGCAGATGCTCAATAGGGTTTAGGTCTGGAGACGTGCTTGGCCAGTCCATCACCTTTATCCTCAGTTTCTTTAGCAAGGCAGTGGCCGTTTTGGAGGTGTGTTTGGGGTCGTTATCATGTTGGAATACTGCCCTGTGGCCCTGTCTCTAAAGGCATCATGCTGTATTTCAGTATGTCACAGTACATGTTGGCATTCATGGTTCCCTCAATGAACTGTAACTCCCCACTGCTGGCAGCAATTATGCAGCCCCAGACCATGACACTTGCACCACCATGCTTGATTGTAGACACGACACATTTGTCTTTGTACTCCTCACCTCGTTGCCACCACACACGCTTGACCCTATCTGAACCAAACAAGTTTATCTTGGTCTCACTGGATCATAGGACATGGTTCAAGAAATCCATGTCCTTAGTCTACTTGTCTGCAGCAAACTGTATGTGGGCTTTCTTGTGCATCATCTTTAGGCTTCCTTCTGGGACAACAGGCCTGGAGACAAATTTGATGCAGTGTGGAGCATATGGTATGAGCACTGACAACCTGACTCCCCCACCCCACCCCTTCAACCTCTGCAGCAATGCTGGCAGCACTCATACATCTATTTCCCAAAGCCAACCTCTGGATATGACCCTGAGCATGGACACTCATCTTCTTTGATCGACCATGGCAAGGCCTGTTCTGAGTGGAACCTGTCCTGTTAAACCACTGTATGGTCTTGGCCACCATGCTGCAGCTCAGTTTCAGGGTTTTGGCAATCTTCTTATAGCCTAGGTCATCTTTATGTAGAGCAACAATTCATTTTTTCAGATCCATGAGGTGTCATGTGAAACTTCTGGTGACCAGTCTGAGAGAGTGAGAGCAATAACACCTGCTCCCCCTTCACACTTGAGACTTGTGATGCTAACAGGTCTGATGACACCATGGAGGGAAAACGCTACTTGGGCCCAATTTGGACATTGCCACTTAGGGGTGTACTCACTTTTGTTGCCAGCAGTTTAGACATTAATGACTGTGTGTTGTGTTATTTTGAGGGGATAGCACATTTACACTGTTGTAGAAGCTGTATACTCACTGCTTTACATGGTAGCCAAGTGTCATTTCTTCAGTGTTGTCACATGAAAAGATATGCTAAAATATTTATGAAATGTGAGGGGGTGTACTCACTTCTGTGATATACTGTACATGTTGAGAGGAATTAACGTTACACAATACTGTTATCTAGCAATAACTTACAACAGACAAAGATCTTAGCAAAACAATGTTTTTATCAAGATTAAGATCATTAATACTGTTTTATATTATCTATTGTTGAATGAGCTATAAGCAATAAACTAGCAGAAAATATTCTCATTAGAATTTAAAGTACCATGTAGAAATGTGGTTGATTGGATTATTTAATACTGAACTTGATCTTTATACTTGCTATTGATTACCCATGTCATATTTTTTTCAGTTATTTCTATAAATTTATCTTGTGCTAGGAAATGTTGAAGGTGGCAGGAAAAGTTGAAGTCCAAATATGAGATTAACTGACTTCATAAAAGAAGACACAGCCTTGATTTTGCAAGGCTGGAGCAGGGCAGTTGATGATAGGACATTTTCAAGGTCACTCATAGGACATAGTTGGAGGTAACAACAACAGCTTCTGTTTTTTAGAAGAACATATGTCTGCAACCAGTAAATTCCTAAATACTAGTTTTCACACAAGAGCTCTCTGTGAGGGGGCTCCGTTCATATGCTTAAAATTTTAATTATTTGAAAGTTTATTCCTATTTTTGTTTTGAACTTCTACCTAATGAGTGGGTTTTAGAGGTCTCTTTGCTCATCTGGATTACAGTGGCTTGACCTGAAGAAAAATGTCCGCCCAAATATTGGAATCCAACTTAACCAAAACATTTGAAGAATTTCAAGGGGAAAAAAAAATCAGAATTCTACACGGTTTCCATTCTCACTGAGTTTGAATAAACCAGTGTGTCCAAACTCAGTGAGAATGGAAACCGTGTAGAAGGGCTACAGGTGAACACAGGGGCAATAGTAACTGAATAGGGCTTGAGATGGCTTAACCATTTATTTTTTTCCTCTCTCCCCACAGTCACTGTAGCACACTGTGCACATGGGATGCATTTACTCAAATCCTCACTGAAACAAAATCCAAGACTGTAAAGAACTATGGATCAGACCCCCAAGTGCAAGTTCCTATTACTGAAGCATGCTGATCTGTGTCTAGCATGACTTCACCCACCATCTGTGGGATTACCTCCAATGCTGCAGTCACTGAGCCACATGACCCTAATCGTACTGCAGCCCAGGAGATCCCCTTAATTCCTTTCCCCCTTCATAAAAATTCTGATTCCACCAATCAGGGAGATGGGATGACCAATTGGAACTCACCAAGCTCTTACTTTTCGCACTACCTGCAGTTGCGAGCAATTAATGTGCAAACCTGACATTACCTAGTTAGCACATAAAGTAAGAATGTGATGGGCGAAAACACACTTGCTCCCATTCATAGCCAGTTACAGGAACAAGTCAAAAATTCCCATCCGGCTCTGATTAGTGATCAGCTAATCTCATTCTTACTTCTTAAAGGGTGGGTAGGTGGGCTGTGACGCCCACAGTGGAAAAGAGGCCAAGCTAGGGAAGAAGGCAAACTAACCAAAGCCCTCCCACTCCTCCTCTACATCACTGTTTTGCACTTGCTCCATCCAGAGCGGGCAGGCAAAGCACTACCACGGCGGCAGTGCTGCCACCATGCAGGGGGGTCCATCTTCAAAGAAATGGAATCCCACCCCCTTCTAATACTGAATGTGGCAGTAAGTGTGTTTCCCTTGTCCACTTGTCAACTGCTTTTGTTGTCCAGCAAACAAACTTGTAAGACGGGTTGCTTACTATCTATACACCATATTGTCGATATGGAAGAGAATAAAGTAGAAAGGGAACTGGAAAAACAAACAGGGGGAGAGAGAAGGAGGAGGGAAGGAAAAAGCAGTGTTGGGGTGTTAAAAGCAACTTAGAACCTTTGATGCTTTTTAAAAGAGTTGGAAAGCAGAAATGTTTGTGTGTGTGTGTGTGTGTGTGTGTGTGAGAGAGAGAGAGAGAGAGAGAGAGAGAGAAGAGAGAAAATCTAGCTCTTCAAAGATTGGAGTGGTTAGGTTATACACCTCTATCTCCTTTCTACCCCTGGGCATGTTTTTGAATTAAGCCCATAGCATAACTGAGTCAGGTCTGTGAATAAAGCAGAACCGAATGGGCCTTCTAAATTCCTATTCTGTAGAGAAAGGCAAAAGTGATAGTTTTAGGAGTTCTGCTGCCAAAGAGGAATTCCTCTGGAGATGAGATTAAAGTCTTCTTACTGCATTCTTAAGAAGCAATTTGTTTTTTGATAGGATATTTTGCACTCACTTTCCCTGTGGATTTCAAAAATAGGTCTCTGTCTTTACTTGGGCAGTGTCAGAAGCCTTTGTAGGAAACACTTTCTGTATTTGAAATTAGACTCATTTTCTCTTACCTTTTTCTGAGACACCTTTTCCATTTTTCTGCCAGTAAAGAGAAGGAACAGATAAGTAATTCCACAAGGTGATTATAGTATAAATTATATTTCTGTGCTATGTAACAAGTCAAGCTGGCGGAAGCTTTTGGGGAAAGAATTCTAAAAGCACATGCATGGATGTCCTTCTCATCCTCCATTCCAGGTACTTGTTTTATGTTTCAACAGTAAAACCCAAAGTCTTCTCACTTTTAACTCATATCATAAGAGATTCTATTCCGCTGCATCATACAATGTGAAGTTTTACAGAAAGCAGCTGATGGTCAACAGAGGTCACAGGTAGGAAATTATGGCCCTCCAGATACTATTGAGTTCAAACATGCTAAGGAAAACTGACAACCTGCATATAATTTATAACCTGGGGCCCTCCACGTGTTGCTGGACTCCAGTTCACATAAGTCCCAGACATCCTACCAATGGTTAGATAGTTATATGCAGACTGTCAGTTTTCCTTAGCATGTTTGTCAAATAGCTTGTTCTTCGGTTAGAAGAAACCAAAGACAAGCCTGTCACTCCCACCCACTTTCCATGTTCTTTTAAAAAACTTGGAAAAGTTACTTTTTGGACTACAGCTCACCAGATCCTCTAATCAGCATTGCCATTGACCATGCTTCTTGTAGGAATCTATGAAGTCTAATTTCCTTACATTTTGCTGTGAAATATTGTTCTTTAAGGAGGTAAAAAAAGGAAAAGCAACTTTTCATTACTTTTCTGAAGAGGAATGTATATATCTTGGAGGCTGCATGGCTGTCTCAAGCCTTGCTGTTTTAAATGTACAAAAAAAAAGATGTCATCATGTTTCCTGGGAATCATAGTATCACTGCCACTTAAAACTATGACTCCCAACCCAGGAAGCACTGCAATGGCTTCCGCTTTACAACAGGATCATCGAAGATAGCCGTGCAACCTTGGAGATAGGCCTTAGTCCATATGAGTAAAATATGTCTGATGGTTTGGGTCTGTGAGTTACAGAATTCTGCCGGGGGTCCTTGTGGAGCTGGGGTCCAAAAAACCCCCAACCCAACCAGAAAAATGAACAATACATCCCTATAAAGGAACAACGGAAAAATCTCTTGGTTCCCAGTGTTCAAATGCTTTTACTTTAAACAATATTTTTGCTGCCTTATTAGTGGCTGCCAGTCACCAGTATTCTTAACAGATTTTATGCACCGCTGTGCCTTGTTCCTCCCTAGTTGTCCGAGGAGGTTTTTCATCTCTCATCATTTTTCCTAGGTAGCAGGGATCAAAGGCGTATTCCTGGCCAACAAGAAAATAGAGGACCAAATTAAGACTTTCATCACCTACAACAAAGGCAGAGACTGGCGTTTGCTGCAGGCTCCAGATTCAGATCTGAGAGGGGACCCCGTCCACTGTCTGCTGGTCAGTAATGGAAAATTTCCAAGCTGTAATTAGTAGACCCACAATGTTTTCCATTCTTAGAGAATCCCACATAAAAAGGTAACTCACTGAAATCTATGGGTTGCCTACATAGCACCTACCCCTGGATAGTTAGTCTCTCAGTTTGCATCAATTATTTCTTCTTTTTCCTTCTTTTTCCTTTTTAGTGATAATTAAATGAATAACTTATCAACAGCTGGTTTTGTGGACTTTTAAAGCCAGAAGGGATGATTATGGAAATTTAAATGCTGGCTATAGAATTGCCCCAAACTTTGAAACATTCTATAAAGAGATCAGTTTGATTCAATGTTATTTATTTACACATTTTTCTCCTCCATTCCAGAGGTTTCAGGATGCTTAACAATGGATAAAGACAGACACACAAATAACAATATAACAATAACTACTGAATTCATACCATAACATATTAAACCAATTTAGTCTTAGAAAATTCCAGCTGCCAGCCCAGCTGAAAAGCCCTTGTTGTGCTTCTGAAAAATGCCTCTGGAAAATTCATTGACTGAAATCTTGTTGCTTAGCGTATTATTCCCTACAGCCGTGTAGGCCCACTGAATCAGTGGTGATTTGGGAAGTCAACCCCTCAGTAACTTCCATTGATTCAAATGGGGCCATTCTGGCTGCAATTTACTTGGAACATTGCAAATTATTGCACTAAAGTACTGTGTTTCCCTGAAAATAAGACAGGGTCTTATATTAATTTTTGCTCCAAAAACCGCATTAGGGCTTATTTTCAGGGGATTTTTTTTTTCATGTACAACAGTCTACATTTATTCAAATACAGACAGTCATGTCATCTTCTTCTGGTTGCTGCACAATGGGGGAGGGCGGGCTTTCACTTAACTGGGGCTTATTTTGGGGGTAGGGCTTATATTGCGAGCATCCTGAAAAATCATACTAGGGCTTATTTTCAGGTTAAGTCTTATTTTTGGGGAAGTAGGATATGTCACAACTAAAGTAGGCTCATTTAAACAATGAAAGTTGCAGAGAAGTTGACTTCCCTAATCCCCACTGATTCAGTGGGTCTACTGCAGTACAATTTGCTATGGTAAGCAGCAGGATTTCAGACATTGTCTCTTAAAAATCCAGATTCCTATTGCTGTTTGTGTAAAGTTTGTGTAATTTGTTGTGGCTGATCGATGAGGTTCCAGAGTGCATCTCCATTGCACAATTAGGTGTATGACCAGGCATGCTACCATGATATGCCCTGACATCTTATTGATTATCCATAATTAGTCACAGTGAGTTAGGCAAGTCTTACATGAATACCAGTAGGATTCTAGCCAGAGTTTATCGGGTTTCCAAAGAAAGGATTTCCACAGCTGTTGAGTCAGGGGCTCCAAGTGGGCATCTTCACTGTATCTCCTGGGCAAGGGGCCAGCCAAAAGCACCCAGATGATGCCTGGCTGATGGGGTTAGATGCATTGTCAGCTGTATAGCCATGAGCAAGCTGCGCAGTACCACCAGAAGGAAGGACATGTGAAGCATTTCAGAAAAACCCTGGAACTATTGCCATAAATTGCAATTGATGTGACTGTACATAATTATTGATTATTAATTAGAGATGCCAGAATGCTTCTGCATTACTCTCAGGTCTAAATTAACTTCAAGAGGGTAATGTCACTTTAGGGGAGATTTCTGGTGGGGGGTGACAGTGGTGATGACATACCGTGTCACTTTAGGGGAGATTTCTGGTGGGGGTGACAGTGGTGATGACATAGGCCCCTTTGGTCAGGTACCATGTCAGAGTCCTGCTCCAACAATGCGGCTGGGATGGGAGAAATCTCTGTCTGAAGAAAGAAACTGCAGTCATGAAGTTTAGCACACACAAACTGTGTCCCAGCGAACTCTGCTCTCTCTCGGAGTCTCTGAGCACATTCTTTTATTAGACACAAGGTTACAGCAAGTGATACATGCCAACGAATCAGCTGTCAGTTCATTCTGTCCACCAACAGGTTAGAGTGTGCGCATTACAAATATACCAGCAACTAAGAAAAGAGGCAAACAATGAACAATGGCAGGAATGTTATCATAGTCTTTCCAGGATTCCCACGGTACCATCTGCTAACTGGAAACAAAAGAAAATGGGAACCATGATACTGAGAGAGTAAGTCTGTGAATTTAGTTTTTTCCCTTCATGATGCATTTCCATTATTTTCCCATCTCTTACAGCCCTTCTGTTCCTTGCATTTGCACTTGCAAGTCTCTGAAAACCCCTATACTTCAGGCAGCATCTCAAGCAAAGAGACCGTTCCTGGACTTCTTGTTGCTACAGGTACAGACTTTGTCTCTACTTGGTTGTTCTCACCCTTTTCAAACGCAAATCTCTTGTTCACCATAATCTACAGTGTTTAAAGATGAGTCACAGAAGCTTATTTCACTTGGTAGATTTGATCGTATTAGTGTGAGCTTTTTCAGTGGGGAAAATAAGCCTGATAAACTGATGTGCCCACCATTGAACCACTGTATTCAAACTGCTCAATCACAGTCAAGATGTTTTCTTGTTCTCATGTACATATTAACTTGAGTATGCAGAGAGTGCTTGTTGGAAAAAGTGCCCCTGGACACCAGAGAAGGATTGTGTGGAGAATCCACTGCAGGGATGCTTCCTAGATTTTGTGCCTACTCATAAGAGCTAGAATCTTAATTTTTTTTGTGTGTTTAAGTAGAAGTATTCCTCTCCCAACTACTAGATTGCATTCTTTTAAGTACCTGTTTAAGGCATTTTAAATTTCCTTGGCATTTTAATTTAAAAAAAAATCTCTTAGCCTGCTGCATGTGTTTAGCTTCTGCCTCATTCTATCAATAATGTTACAGTTTTATTGTATGTATTGGTATTTTGTAAGATTTTCTGTTCACTGCTGTGGAATTTAGTGGTTGTTGAGAGATAGATTCAAGATTTAGATGAATAAAAACATAAGTATATAAATCAATTTTTGTATGTGAATTAAACCCCAGAATACAGTCAATATGATAGACTAGATTGACATTTTCAGTTTCATACATCATTTGCATTAGCATGTTGCTAATTGATACTTACAGATTATCAATGTGTTAATGTAAATTGTAGATAAAATGAAACATGCAGTGCTATCACTGTTACTGCTCCATATTATTGTATTCCTAATTAAAATGCACGGGCATGAAAGCTGGTTAGTGAAGGAAGCCGACAGGAAAAAGATTGATTTGTTCAAGATACGATGCTGGAGGAGAGTTTCTTCCAAAGAGATTCAACTGGCCAGACCCCAAAATACAGATGTACCACATACTTCTTTGATCAACCAACTTTTACATTTGGATAGCTACCTATATCTCCCTTAATATCAAAGTTTAGATGAGTTAACTTCTAAGATTCTGTGAGTTATCAATCAAAAAAAGTAAATTTTCTAAGCCCTGGTTGATATGTCATAATCATGTCAGCAATTGCCGCCAACACAGCTGTCTCTCTTAAGGCTTGAAAGGCTTAGAGGCTTTAGCTGCCTCCAGTCCCTTTTCTGTCTCTCTGCTTCATCATCTCTTTATCCATTTCTTTTCTATGTGAGGGCTTTGTATGCCCATAGCTGTGCTGGTTCTCATGTTGGAGGCAATTGCCTGTGAAATAGCATTGATCCATGCCACTGTGCTTCACAGAAACTTCTCACCCAGTCCTATACACTTATTTGTTGCCAGTTTGGCCTACCAGGCTCTGAGCCTGGCTATCTTCCACCACACACTAGCATTCAGCTTTGTACTAAAACATAAAGGTAAAACTCTGTAGAACATTGATACGGTCTGGCATAAAGCTCTAAAAACACCCTGTATATTGGTAGCTGACCTAATGATGTTTATTGCCAATATTGGGAAAGTTAACTTATTGGATGGTAAGTCCCATAGTTCTACATCCAGAATGGCCCCTTGGGCATGCATGCTGGGGGATTCTGGGAATGGTAGCTCTCTTCTCCCAGACTTTTCTGAGTTTTCGTCCTCTGGTAGCTGGTGCCTGTGGCTGACACAGGAACCAGGAGTGAATAATGGCAAGTACAAAATTAGATGTTCTTTTATATACACCATATACATAGGTAGACAGGCTAGCAAATATTCACACATATAGAGACCTTCTGCATCTTATAAGGAACCAGGCAGGAGTGGGATGGCTAAGGGTGCCCTGAAACAAGACAATCCACCTACCCACCTCCTTACCCTAATGTATGAGCTGCCAGGGCAGGCATACTGAAACAAGATATTTCAGAAACCCCATTTCAAATTTGGTTACTCTCAGAATTGCCCTGTTGACAATCTATCGTCCTTCCTTAATTAGTGCCTGCAATGTTACAGAGTGTAGAATGAAAATATTGGCACCATCAGATATTTAGGTGGTGTATAGTTCCTTCAAAGTGTTGCTGCTTTATGCCCTACCAAATGTAAAATGGGTTGCTGTGCAGTGGCACGTCTTTCCAGTTTAGCAATGGTGTATTCAAAGTTTCCAGTGCAGTGGTTTGTTGCTGGAAATGTTTCTTGTTCAAAAGGGGCTACCCTGGAGAGAAGGTCAGCATTTTTTTCTTTTGAGAGTCTAAAACTTTGGGGTAATTTCTGTGCTTTAAAACTTCAGGGTGATACTGCCAGAGAATTAGCTATAGCGCTACATATCCCAGTAGCATAATAGCTGTTGTCCATAATTCATGTCCCATTTTCCCCACCAGAAGAGAACTCAAGAATGCTTTACCCCCAATACACTGGTGTTTTCTCCTTAACAGAGAAACCTGTCTTCTGCCAATTGCAGGCTTCTAATGACAGCCAGTTATAATGTTAAATGCCAGCAGTGCCCAGCCCCTGGTAATTAGTCTGACAGCCATCACACCACTTTTATGTCTTCAGCTGCCAGTTCACAGTAGGCAGGCTCATCAAGATGACCAAGTTTATCCAGCCTTATGCAGTGTTTTCACAATGTAGAGTTTGGTGGGAGCTGTCTGACATAACAAAGAAGCTTGTTGAATGGTTGTCATTGTAGATTACCCATATGTATAACATGGAGTGTGTTCTGTAATTTCACAGAAGTGCCAGCAAACTGATATAATTCCCAATCACAGAAGTGTATTGTGACTCCTTCCACCTGCTTCAAGGGTGACCCAAAAAATCCACAAATTTTGCATTTACAATTCTGAGGTGCTCAAACTTATGAGTAGGTAAGAACCTTTGGCTATGCAGAATGATGAGCAGATCAGCTGAAGTCTGATGGCACCTTGAAAAAAGCTAGTGAAATCATAGAATGTGCAGGCAAAGAGAGCACTCATCCTTCAACACGAGGATTTGGAACTGCAAACTGTCTGCCCCACAGACAGTTCCAAAATTGTGAACTGAGACAAACACATCAACGATCATATTACCAGTCTGCTTCAAGACCAGTTCAAACTGTCGATTGTATGGCTTGGATCCAATCTATCAGAAGGGTGGCTCCTAAGATCTTTTGGGGGGGGGAGAGTCTCTCAGTCCCATTGATTTCATAGACATGTCTGATCTGAGAGGGCCTTCACTGTGGTTGCTCCCACATTGTGGAATGGCCCCCTCAGGAGGCTACATTGACTCCCCCTCAACTTTGTCCTTTTGGCATCTGGTAAATTTTATTTATTTATTTTTATTTATTTGTTCAAACTTATACCCCACCCATTTAGTGGACAAGCCACTACTCTGTGTGGCTTCTAAGAAATAACAAAAATGAACAATACATTTTTTTTAAAAAAAAATGAGCATATAAAACCAGAAACCCATTTGGCGAGCCAAGGACTGGCAAAAATTCAATACAAAATTAACAATGCAAAGAGGTGAGGCTTGTAAAGGCTCAAGGGTCTGTACAGCTTCCCCTGCTGAAGAGATAGTGTTTCGTGTTATCAGCATACTGTTGATAACACACTCCAAATCTCTGAATGACCTCCCCCAGCAACCTCATATGTTAACCAGCAAAGGGGAGATGATTGACCTCTGTGGGACACCACATTATAATATCCATGGGAACGAAACAGCTTCCCCAAGCTGGACTCTTTGGCACTGGTTGTCCAGGAAGGAACAAATCCAGTATAATGCTACACCTCCAATCAAGATGACCAGTCCAGTCCCAGCAACCAGTCCAGGAGGATAGTGTGGTCAATGGTATCAAAGGTGGCTGAGAGATCCAAGAGAACCAACAGGGTCACACTCCCCCAGTCAGCCTCCCATAACAGGTCATCTAGCAGGGCAACCAGAATTGTCTGAGTCCCATGACATGGCCTGAACCCTGATTGAAATGGATCCAGATTACTGATATCATCCAAGAACATCTGCAGCTGGTTGGCCACCACACATTTCTATTTAAACAGGCTAAAAATAACCACATCAGATACCAAAGCTAGCCTCTCTGAGATGTTGTGGTTATGATTGATTCTAAGGGTTCTTTTAGCATTTTTATATGATTAATTTTTATATTATAATGTGTTTAATTTTGAAAAAATTGTGTATTTATTGCCCTTTTAACTTTACTTGTATTTTAATTAGGAATGCATGGTTCTGAGTTAGTTTATGGAATATGTTGACAATTATTGTACTTATAGGACAGATAAGCAAGTAACCTAGCCATTGCTAAATGGCTAGAGGCAGGTGGACATGAACAGGGTTCAAAATAAATCCTGGGACTGATAAGGAATCATTCTACTGAAATTTCATCAATATAATTTTCAGGGGTTTTTTTTTTACCTTCCAAAATATCCAAATTCAATGCTGAGATCTAGAAACTTGCTGGAATGAAATATTTAGTTATCAAATATGCATGCTAAGTGTGCTTCTGTTTCCAGGAGACAAAAAGAAAATACAATAGTATTCTTTTCAGTTGAGAAAGGGCTGCTGTTACTTTATTCCCTGGAATTGTTATGGTTTGGAATGAAGAATCCTAAATGAGCTTCTATCCACTAAGAATCAATTTACTTGCTAATGAATCTGTAATTTTCTCTTTAAATAATACCGCAGTGCATAGAGGGAAGACCACTTTTAAAAATTGACAGTCTCCACATGGAAGAAACTGCTCACTGAACCATAATGACCTCTGGAAAAAGAGCTATGCTTTAAAGAATAGAGCTAGTCAGACAGGATGAAATGGAGGTAAAAGGGAATTAATGTACGTCACGGCAATGATTAGAAAATAGGAGCCGAAGTCCGTACTATTATATGCAAGGAGTGTTGTGCTGACAGAAGCACTCTGTCATAGGGCTACGGAATGTGCAGTCTTCCAGATTTGCACAGCAGCTTCCGTCATCCTTAGCACCATTGCTAAAGTTGAAAGCTGATGACTGTTGCAATTGAACAGGATTCAGAGCATTATATGTTCTCCATCCCTTACTGTATGAAATACTACTTCCTCCTATGTGGTCTTATCAAGAGGTTGTTGTACAGAAATTGTTCATTTCATATCTCCAAAATTATGTAGAAGATAATTTTGGTTTATCTGTTTTCTAGTGCTTAACATTATTGGGCTTTTTGGTAAGAACTTTTATATTAGGAATTTGGTTATAGTTTTTGATAGCAGAGCAGAAGGCAGAAAAAAAAACAACAACACAGAAATCAGGACAGATTTTGCCCGTCTCACCTCCCTCCTCAGGACACACAGACTAATCTTTTGCAGGAGTCGGGACTCCAGTTGCACGACTTGCTGTCAAACTGAACTTAAATCACACCAGTGACTCATCATGTTTGTTTGTTTGTTTTTCCCAATGACTGAGACTCAGCTCATGACTCAGACTCCACCCACCCCTGGGGGGGGGAAGCTTGTTTTTAATAGAGACTTGGGACTCAGGACTCAGGACTTGGTACCAAAGACTCAGACTTGGTACTTGGTATCAAAGATTCTGATTTGGACTTGGGACTCGGACCTAAAGACTTCTGAACATTCCTGTTTTTTTGTAGTGAAATGATCACTCTAGGTCCATATTTAGAAGAAAGAAATTATGCTTACTCAAAGTTATCAGCTGTAAGTACAGTCAGAAGGGGAAAACAAAAAAAATAAAAACTGAGTTTCCACCATGGAAGGAGTCTCCATGCTTCTTTCTCAAAAGGTGGAATAGAAGCAAACCGGAAGAAGGCGTTGACCCTATGACAGATGTGGGGAAAGCTTTACAAATCAAACAATCAACTAGCTATGTCAGAACAACCCTTCCTGCGATGCTTTGTGTTGCTGCAACTCTTTAAGCCTCAGGTTTAATTTTCAGAAATATAAGAGTCATTAGATGTTGGTAAGCTGCATTCTCTAGGTAGGAATGCATCAAGTTGCATCTAGGTGTTAATTCTTCATTTTCAAACATTAAATGTCACAAGTGCAATTAACATTTTCATTACTATGCATTTATTTTGTTCCTCCTCAGGCTACAATAGTTTGGAATTGGCTCCTCATTCTAGTTATCTTTAAAGTGAAAGACAACATAGCAAACTAGTTTTATAGGGTGAATAAATATCTATTCAAAAGCCAACTTTCCTGAAGACTATGTAACTTGTGACAATTATTTCTGTCAGGGCTCTGACATCAGTAAGGTTTTAGCCAAGGTTGTAAAGCCAGTGGTGTGCTTGGAGTTGTGGATCACATGAAGAACCAGCCCAAGGCATTTTGCAAGCCCCTACCTTTTACCTGAGTCTGGGTAAAAAAGTTATTTTTCTCACATGAGGAAGTAACTCACAGAAGCACATCTAACTCTCCTGGCAGTTAGAAATCTGATATTAATAATTTAAAAAACTAACTATTCATTACTTTTCCATGACATGCAAGATGTTCTGCCTGCAACAGCTCTCTTATTCTGCCTAATGTTAAGGTTGACCAAATAGTCCAAAATCTGGAAGAAATTAGCACAGAATCAGATGTGTCTTAAAAGGACTCAATAAACTTTGTTTCCAATGAGCTGGCAAGGATTTCAAAAGTTCTGTTTGTATAGCTTATTCTTACCTTTTGAGTTTGTGTAAAGACACAAATGAGAAGGAAGGGATAATTAGCTTCCCAGCATCCAACTATTTCAATTACATGAGCCATGCCCAGATACCATAAATGCAAATGAGTTGGCTCAAGTACCATATTGAGTTCAAAAACAGCTTTATCATTTTCAGAGTCTTGCTTGTTGCACACTATTTATGACTATATTAGAATTATAACAATTAAATGTACCAGAAAACCCAAGAACCCCAAAACAAAACAGAAACCTTCATTAAACAGAAGAAAACATCCTCATGTCTGTATATTTTGCCATATTGCATTAAACTGTGGTGTGGCGTGATAGAAACAAAAATGCTTAGAGTCATGTTTTTCACTTATTTAATTCCATATGTTTTAAGGTTTTCTTCATTCAAGCACTTCTCTTATTTCATAGTAGTTTCCAACATTTCTTGAATTAAAATAAATAGAGGTATTGCTCCAAGTTCACTCGTGGCTTGGAGAAAACATGGTTCCCTAAAGCTACATTGGAACTCAATTTATTCATAAATCTATATCTGCTTTTATTTCAGGCAATGTGGGTCCAGAATTGTCATATACTGAAGTTGGCATGTTTGTTTCTTCAGATGCTGGAAATTCCTGGAGACAGGTAATTCTTGAATAAGTGGAAACTTCAGGGAACACTTAGATTTTTTAGATTTTTATTTTAATTTTATTATTAAAAAAATTTCTGGTAATTTTGTGGGTCTTGCAAGTGACGTTCAATTTCTACAATACTTTTCTTGTCCACAGATCTTTGAAGAGGAATATAGTGTCTGGTTCCTTGACTGGGGTGGAGCTCTTGTAGCCATGAAACATACATCAATGCCCATTCGTCATTTGTGGTAAGGATGTTTTCTTTAAGTTAACAACATGCTCCTTCTGTTGGTAAACATAGATGTGGCACTTGGGGCAGAATTAGATGATAAAGTTAACATGTCATAAGAGGTTGTGGTTCCTTAAGTGATGAGAGACATTGGTGCATATTAGTGTGTGCTTTCCCTCTCTGTTTCTGGCATTGCTTGATTTTACAGTTGGTCACTTGAAGGCAATTATAGGCTTAATTTGCAAGTCTGGATGGTAAGCCATTCATCTCTGAGGAACTTATGTTGCAGGAGGGAAATGGTCTATTCTCAGGAAGTATGGATTTTCTTTAACATCTAGGTGGACTCTCATTCACTTCTGTTTAATAATATGGTTAGGTAATCTAAACTTCTAATTGTCTGTTTCATAGCTCCTTTTACTGAATATTTCAAAATGGCACAAACACAGTTTCATATGAAGTCCACAACAGGATACTAGGAACGGATTTTTCAATATGTGGAAGAAGAAACCAGAAGCAACAGATCAGCTAGCGATTAACCGTCTTCCAAAACAATTTTTTGCAAACTGAATTTCATATTCATTCTATATATTTAATCCTCATGCACTAGACAGGACCATTTTAAGCAGACTCACATTTTTCTGAAGAAGCTTCACAGAACAAGATCTGCAACAGAAGCACTATCACCAGTACAGATGCACATCATAGACATTTATCATATACTGCAGTTTTTTCTCCTGTAACAAACAAACAAACAAAGAAACAAACAAACGAATGAATAAATAGATAGATAGATAGATAGATAGATAGATAGATAGATAGATAGATAGATAGATAGATAGATAGATAGATAGATAGATAGATAGATAGATAGATAGATCGATCGATCGATCGATCGATCGATCGATAAATGGCACACAGACAAATGTGCCAACGTATCTTCTGCTCTATATCATTAGGGTCCTTAAAAAAACCCCAGTCAGTGTACTTTCCAGTGCACCAAACCTTTGATGCAAAGAAGGAAATGAGATATTTTGTGGTTGTCAATGGGACGGCACTATTTTGGGGGGAAATGAAAGTTCTTTTAGTGCAGGATCCTTGAATTTGTTTTAGTCAGGAGATACCCAAGAAGTGTATGGTTTGTTTTGTTTCTCTTTGCTTTGCTTTATCTGATTTTGTTTTACTATTTTACCACCACACCTTCTGCTGTCTGACTCTTGAGTGTTTGAGTGGACCACATTCAATTCTGCACACAAATGCTCCTTGGGTGTGAGCCATTTTTATACCCACAATAAGCTGGAATTCTTTCTGAGATCAGAAAATACCCTACAGTCCAAACGGCAGAAGTGATTGTTTGTTTGTTTTATTCTAGTACATGAGGCTTGAAATGTTTCTGCGCTGCCCTTCAGTTAATTTTTAAAACCCATTTAAAACATACAAGTGCCAAAGAGAAACACTACATTAAGCAATGTACATGAATTCAGCAGTGTTCATAAAACCATAATTAAAAACAGTTCACAAAATATGCTGGGGAAGTAAGAATATGCTTAGAATGGCAACACAATGCCAGGCAAGCATTCCCAATGAATGTATTCTATGCAAGAGGTACTACAACCAGAAGCTCCTTTCCCTGATTGCTACCTCTCTCATTACATTGTTATCTTGTTCATGGTCTGTGTACGGAAGAGTTCAGGCTTATTTGAGTGTTGGTATCACAGCAGAAAGCTTGAAAAAGGAAATAAGTTTTATAGTTGTGCCCCCTCTTTGGTCACTTCCTTCTAAATAGGGAAGTCATCGAGTCAGAAGAGGTTGCTCTGTGTATGAGTCCCAACTAGAGACAGGGATGAATATAAAAATGGATCTCTTTTTTTGGAAGAAAATAGCCGATTCGTTAATATCCATTGATCTGTATTTGTCAAATTTTAAGTCCTGATGTAAGTCCTGACGTACCGGCCGCTGATCAGCTGATTGGCAGGCCAATAGGCAGCCAACCGCCCCCCCCCACAGCCGTCTACTCACCATCTACTTCCTCTCCCTACCTTAGCCCAGCACTACCACCGACACCCGCTTCCCTTAATCGCCAATGGCACCGCCAAGGTTTCCATCAGGCCTCCACAGCCGTGGTGTGTAAAAAGGGAGGCTAGCTGCCCTTTGCAGTGATGATGGTTGTGGCTTCATTTAGGGTAGGGAAACTGCAGCTGCCATCTTTGCAAAGGGCAGCCTGGATTCCCTTAGCTGTCCACTGTTGTGGGGTGGGGTGGCAGTTGCAGCCAGCTGTGTGTGTGTGTGTGTGTGTGTGTGTGTGTGTGTGTGTGTGTGTGTGTGTGTGTGTGTGTGTGTGTTTATAACCCCACCATGAATCGACAAATATTTTTCCTTATGGACATAAACATTGTGCATACGTGTGCGCCCCCACCTATCTCTCCTTAGCAATTTAAAACCATTCTCCTTTAATTTATAGACTATATGCTTCAGCATGCAGTCTTATAAACATTACATTAAAAATCCATTCCTCCTGTTTGCAAGGGACGACACATGCCAGAAAGAAAGATAGGCATCTGTGGGGGGGAACTGGGAAAGAAGTTTGACTTGCTTAAGGCCACCTTATTATTTTATCATTTATTCATGTAAGTATTTATACTCAACATTTTGAAATCAAAAGGATCTGCAGCTTACCTAACAGGACTGATATCCACACGCATCTTCAAGAGACAACTAAAGCATAATGCAAACAACACCAATACAACTGCATCCTACAACATATTGTTGTATTTTAGATATTTCCCTTCAACAGATCCCCAGAGGCATTTAGAAAAATTACAGCGAAAAGACTGAACCAAAAATAAGTTTCACTATATTTCATGGCCTTATGCCTAAACAAGTATGCATGGGATTGCATAGGTTTCACGATCTAGTAAACAGAACCAAGAGTCGTCAGAAGAAAAAAAGATCAGCCACACATCTGTTGTGCATCTGTTTGCTCAGAGTATGTCCTGCCTGGTCCAAGTGGGGCTGGAAGAATCCTTTGTCTCATTCAGTGCAAAGTTACAACCAGTCAGTGTTGCCATATGGGCCCTAGATGGAACAATGGTCTGGACTGTTGTAGACAGTTTTCTGTCTTCCTATGCATATATGTAGTTGGGCCTTGGAATGTAAATCCTTATTTATCCTCATGGGAGAAGACAAGGGACTGTACCGTTAATTTCCTCACCTTTCAGGAGGGCAAAGGACTGTGTTATATTCTCTATGACAGAAAAGGATAGGAACAAGGTGAACGAGGATTTTATGCAAAGTAAGCAAAATTGTGCAAAATCATATCTAACACAAACAATGTTTTAATGCAAATAATGCAAATTTGCAGAAAATCAAAATTATGGCCACTTTGTGACATGGACTTTGAGACTGACAAGCACTGGAGATAACCAGACACTGTTCTGTGCTTGCTCTCTATATGTCTTCAGCTTTTCACTAGTTTTGTGTGAGAAAGTTTATCTGAATTATGGAGATCCTCATGAGGAAAAATAACAGTCCTTTCTCAAATGGGGCTTGCAAATTCTTGGTCCGCTTGTCTTGTCATGTAACAAAAGCCCAAATCAGCAAGAGTGAAGAGTGAAACAAGAGTGAAGAATTGATGTAGTGTCCTTCCTTCCTTCCTTTGATTTGTATACCATCCCATTAGTAAAAAGCACTATTCATGGTGGTTTACAAAAATATATGAATTAAAACACAACAACAATGAAATTAAAATAGAACCAATCAACTTTACTTTCCTGTTTGTACTGTTCCTCTTTGTTCAATGTCTTATGGAGCAAAAATATTTTTTCCTCCAGTGTTGAACTGAAATTACAATTAGCAATGTGTTTCTGCAAAACACATTGGGTGTTGTACTTTTTCTAATGGGTTGACCTGCTCCAAAATCTAAAGCTGCTAATGGAGAAAATTAGAGGGAAAGAGCTTTCAGGAGTTGACATCCATTTCCCCCCTCTCCCTATAAAGTGGTAATGCCTCACTTCATGTGTGTGTGTATGTGTACACACGCATTACCACTTTCAACCAAAAAACAATGCTATCTTTCAGCAATTATAATCTTTTCTACTTGATTTTTATTGAACAGTGTCTTTTCCTCAGTTACACTGATAGAGGGTTTTGAAAGAAGTTAATGAGCTGAAACCTGAAACACTGTAAGATTCTTTAGTGGTTTTGTACATTCAAGAGGTTAACATTCAGTTCCCATAGAACAGCATTTTTATTCATCCCAGTTAGATCCCCATTATGGTTAGGGATGCTTTGAAATTAAGTCTTTGTACATTCCTTTAGAAAGTTATTTCATCTGCACCTTACAGACTAAGGTGAGGATCAAAACGTAGCCACTGGAATTTGCACTTTTCTTCATCATCATAATAAAAATCTTAGAACTGCAGGGCTAGAAGAGACTCTAAGGGTAATTGAGTCCAGCCCTTGTCAAGAAAGTACAGTGGGGATTTGATCTTCCAACCTCTGTTTCCATAGCCAGATATCTATACCACTGAGCTATCCAGCAACTCATACAGTTGGTACACAATGAAGAATACAAGTGGCAACTTGTTAAGTCTTGTAACTCTTTTCTCCATGTTGCACCAGATTTTTACATATAAACCTAAATCCAACATAATATGACCACAGTGGAGATTCATCCTGGTGTAGTCGCACTGGATTAGACCATTGCAGAAGCAGTTGTACAAGCAGTTTGCACAATCTCTTGTGCAACTGCTTGCAAACCTCTTGTGCAATCAAAGCCAATATTGGAGATCTATTTTATGCCAGACTCGCACCAGTACAATGATGACACTGAATACAGGCATAGAATATGTATTTAAATATTAGTTGCAGAGAAAATAGGGATTATACATTCACAATTAAGAATGTACAGGTTAGTACAGTGATAGAACGGTTTAAAAAACATGCAAAAGTAACATAGATTCTTCCATCACTAATTATGGGATATTTCACTAAAGCAGTCTTTTGTGACCTTGTATCCTTCAGACATATTACGCTATAACTCCTGCCATATTCTGGCCACACAGTCATTGCATACATTGGCTGGGGATTATGGGAGATGCATACCATCTTCAGAGTTAACAGATTGGAGAAGCCTGTGCTAAAAGAAAATTTTTTGATACTACACCAAAAGATGACTGATGCTCAGAGCATCAAGAGGCGCATGAATAATAAAATATTTGAAATCACTCCTGAATGCAAGATGGTGCAGTGCCATTTGGGAGCTTTCTACTAGATTTGCACCAAGATGTGTATATAGTCTTTTCATCAGAGAGGTCATTCAGCCATGAATATTGCTTTCACATGTTCATGATGGCTTCTAGGCACCAATCAAACAAATATGTGAAAAAAGAAACAACAAAGATTAGGGTTACTGAATTGTTCTATGTATTTTATTTGTGTGTGTGTGTGTTCAAGAGCCTGTTTCCAGAGCCTGAACCCAGGCAGTGGGAATATAAACATTAAAGTTAAACCAATCAGTCAGTCAGTAAAGCACTATGTTGATAAACAGATTTAATTCTTTGATTGCAAAACATAAAGCTTGCAGTTTGGGATTCTAGAAGAGTTAGCTTTTGCTCACTAATCATACAATTAAATTTAAAGGGGATACAACTCTCGGTGGACATTTAACAAATTTGATGTTCCTTATGAAACAACCTTGTCAATACTTCTTAGACACATGTTCTGCTAAGAACTTTACAGTTCAATGTATTTCTTAACTTTCTGAATGATGCAGTGCAATTTTCCATAATTCAAATGTGACAGGCTTTCATTTATATTCTGAAAGATAAAAATACTTTGAACTTAAAATAAAAGCAAAGGTAGGCCATGAAGCAAATTCCAAAATACACACTGGGGTAAAAACTTTATTTGACCATCCCAGAAGTCAAGGAAAATGTGCAAACTTTCAAGATTATAAACTTCTGTATCAGACAAGATGTTGCAAAAACAAGGAGAGAGGCGGGAGTGCAGTGACCTTAAGGTCATGTAGCCTGCATGGTGTTTGAGATGAAACAGAAGACTTTGCCTTCTGACTCAGCCCAGATACATTCACAATGGAACGATTTGGTTCAGAAGTCAGTCAAATAATTTAAGCAGTCTTATATTCTATATTATCAAGACTGGACTTAATTTTAGATGCTAGGCAGAGGAAAAGAAGTCAACAGACACCAAATCAAGTAGTTTTACCTATTGTGTTGGATTTATGGAACCTCCTTGAATAATATCCTAGTCTCTAAAGGTACAAACATTTTTTTCCTACATGTGAACTCCCTCTGTTGAATGGTTGCATTCCGCAGTCTTATAGTCACAAACAAAAGCAAGGAGAGCTGTGCTGGGAATAAAACAATGCTCAGAATCTATATAGGGTATTATTTTTATCAAGCCAACCAGAAAGGAACTATGCAAGTTTTCAAGATCTCTTTGTCAGGCAACATGTTACAAATGTAAGGGGACAGAAAGAAAAAGTAGGAAGTCTTGATTTTAAGGCCATCTGGTCTGCATGGGGTCTTGATATGTAATGGAGGAAAGCACCTCGGAGATTTTAATGGGGATTATCTACTGATGCAGTGAAATAAGATTTTAGCCAGAGTAGCCTATAGATATACTGGGAGTTTCGAACGTTTAAAAAAAGTTTAGTAAGACATTGTGACAAAGAATTTTTACACAGTTGTATATCCAATTCTATCAGTATTATTTCCCCACCCAAATATTTTATCAGGGAATACAATAATGTACTATTGAAAAGAACAGAGTCAGTCACAAAGCAGCTGAAGGAAGTGAGAGTTGCTACAAATGATGTGTGCCCAACTCTGTCATAAAATAATTAATAATATAATGAGTGGAATCCAAAGTGGTGATTCCACTGACATAGATACCTGTATCAACAAAACCAATAGGAAGACATTCACCTTCTTTCCTCTGCACCTCTTGTGTACCTTAGAAAATCAGCTTTCAGAGATGTTTTCTAGACAGAGTAGAGGGCTGTAGTAGGGAAGGGAAGAAATAAATTTCCATCATTTTGACTATCAGTTATCAGTACAACATTGGCTCTTGGTAAATGGAGGGTTCCTGGTATGTTACAGCAATAAGACACAGTCACTTAGATGTTCAGAATACAGGGATGAATTTAGATGATGAATTTCAGACTCAATCTTTGTGTTATATTGGGAAGATATAGCAGAATTTCAGATCCTTAATATACAGGTGTTAGAGATAATTTTTTTGATAGCCACATGTTCTTAATTTGAGAAGAAATGTTGTGTATGATACTATAGAAATTTTCAGATCTAGAGTTTAAATGAGAGACAGCTAAAATAAGACTGATCTGCTGTCATAGTGGTTTCACAGCCCAATATAAGAAAGGTCACAGTGAATGCTGAGATCAATATCATCACTTAAAATATTTTGGGATGGTTCAGTAGTATTACCCTGAGTTTACTGGCGGAATGCATGCCAGTTTGCCATCTCTGTCACTTTTTATGGGTTCACTCACTAGTCTGTTTCATCTATATTGATCTGCATTAAAAATTATATAGGAATACATTTTAAACAAATTTTGTTAAAGTAAACATTCCTACATGTATATTTCCTCAAAATTTACATTTAAATTTTATAGTAATACTTTTTTGAGCCAAGAACAATGTTAGAACATTTGGGATGCATGAAAACCAATGGACAGCTAAGTTCCAATTAGAGATGGGCATGGATTGAAAAAATGGCAATCCGTTTTGATTCATGATTCATCAGGGTCAATGAAACATGAATAAGGAGGCAAGTCAGGGGAAGCTTCTCAGCAGTTTTGGTATCTCTAGGTGCCTGGAGTGGGGTGTTTTATAGCCCAACAAATCAATGGATCAAAAATCGCTAAAAATTCATTGATTTGTATTTGTCAGGGGCATTAATTCAGATAAATTAATCTGAATGTTTTTTTAATGACTGTTGCATTTTTTTAAAAAAAAATCTTGCCCATCTCTAGTCCCAATCCATAGACAGGGAGCAGCAAATAGGGTTAGTTCAAATTCAAAAACATAAAGATGGTATTCATCAATTACCTGTTTGTATTTGTCAGGGGCATTAATTCAGATGAATTAATCTGAATGTTTTTTAATGAATGTTGCATTTTTTTTAAAAAAATCATGCCCATCTCTAGTCCCAATCCATAGATAGGGAGCAGCAAATCAGGTTAGTTCAAATTCAAAAGCATAAAGATGGTATTCATCAATTACCTACCAGTACAGACTTATCTTTTACCTCATGAAATTATTTGTCTAGTTTATTAATTAGGTTGTTTTATGTGGGTTTGCAGGGTTCAAAACAATGGCCAAAATCCTCTTGTGGAGTTATACTGATGGAAGAGCAACAGCATAACTCACAGGGGTAAACTGATGCTACTTAACAAATTACTGTGTGGATTTCTGGTACTGGGCCAAGTCATCTGACTAGCATGTGACAAAGAATTCAAGCAGCTATGCATGAATTAGCAGCAACATGCCACTGCAAATTATGCTATTGCCTTTCTGCCTGTGTAATTCTGTGACAGGCTTTTAGCCAATGAAGTTAATTTGTTGCAGAATTACAATACATTCACACTTCATTTAATGAAGTGCTTGGTTGTCACAAGCATACTTTAAATATTGAGCTCAAAATAGCGCTATACCATCTTGGGAACACACAAAAGCTCTTCTGTAGAGAAATAAGAGGCAGCAGTTCATGAACTGAAGTGGAATCTTCTTCTGCAGGGTCCTCCAGTTTCCCTGGATCAGAACTAAGCTATCATTCAACTCAGGCAATGCTATCCCTCATTGACTTTGATAACTGTTCATGGTGCATTACTTCTTCAAAGCGCCATGAAGCAGAGCATTAATTAATAACAAGACAAGACTGCAAAGATGGATGCTGTTTATAAATCCAGCTACTGTCACTCACCAGCCTAAGAAGGTGTTTAATTACCTTTGAAATGGTTCCAGTGAAACCCTTTTAAATGTTATTTATCTCATCTCTTTCAATAATAGGATAAGTTTTGATGAAGGAAGGACCTGGAATAAATATGGCTTCACATCAGCACCGCTCTTTGTGGATGGGTCCCTTGTGGAACCAGGAATTGAGACGCAGATAATGACGTAAGTTGCCAAGTTAATCATGCTGTTTTGGCACGTCAGTGGAGATCACCACAACTGGTTATTCATCAAAGTGATTGTCAGATGTGTTCCAGAGTGTCTGTGTTGCCCTCTGGAATCAGGAAGCTTGTACACTGGTTTTTCTGCTTCTGTGGCCACTGCATTTCTTCTCTCCTCCCCTGACATTCATGCTTATACAGTATAATCCAAGTAAAAATACGTGAATAATAGAAATAAGGATGGGAGCAAAGTTCATTGGATTCAGCTGTTTTGATGAAAGTAACCCCTTTTGTACACAAAACTGGTTGTAAGAGATGATCTGCCTTACTTTGAATATTTATACACTGGGAAAGTTTCAAGGACATTAGGATGAAGAAAATGTCCATAAAACAGTGCGCACATTTTAAAATGCAGGAGGCTAAAGGGCATATAATTGAAACACACACACACACACACACACACACACACACACACACTTTAATCAACGGGAAGTATTTGCACAAAATATGGAAAAAAGAGGAGACAATAACTGTTTCTTTATATAATCAGCCTTTTAAGGGCTACGTACCTCAATAAAGACCTGGGTGGTTCTGTACAAGAATTCTGTAAAAAGCTGAGGTTTAGTCTTCTTTGATGTTCTTGACTAGTATTTTTGCTTTTCCCCTGTTTAAAACAAGTTTCTTGTATATTTATTATTGTTTTCACATACATTGGCTTTAAAAATCCTTGTAACAGCATAACATGTCCAAACACCTAGTGCTTAGTGTGGTAAATCACACTAGAGTGGGTATCTTGAATCCATGGGGATTTAATGAGTCAACTCTTCTGTAAGTGTCATTGATTCAAATTGACTTACTCTAACTATGACTTACTTTAACCTATTAAGCCACAATTAGAGTAGGTCAATTTGAATCTAAGGAACTTACACAGGAATTGACACATTGAATCCCCATTGATTCATTGGGCCTGCTGTAAATGTGATTTACCATGGCTCCCTTGAATATGTCCCAACATGTCATCAGCCCCACCCGCGTGGGCCCTTGAATATGTCCCAACATGTCATCGGCCCCACCCGCGTGGGTGGCCATACACTGGACCTGGGTTTTTCCACCAATTGGAGTAAGTGTGGTCTGGTGGTGACTGACCTTGTGTCGGTCCCCTTATCATGGTCAGATCACCATTTGGTAAAATGTAACCTCTCAATGGCTCTCCCCCCTCGCAGGGAGCAGGGACCTATTACTATGATCCACCCTCGAAGGCTACTGGATCCTGTTGAATTCCAGGATGCCATGAGAGGTGTTATGGCTGACCTGGCTGGCGCTCCTGTCAAGGCTCTGGTTGACGGCTGGATCACCGTTGCCTCCGGGGCTATAGACACGATCGCACCTAAACGCCCTCTCCAACGCAGAGTCCACCCGGTGCCCTGGTTTAACCAGGACCTCCGGGTGCTGAAGCGGTTTAGGAGACAGCTAGAGTGCAAGTGGAGGAAGGACCCGACGGATTACAATTGGATAGCTGTCAAGGTCACTATTAACCTTTACCTGGCTAAGGTAAAGGCTGCCGCTTGTACATACTTCGCTAACCGGATAAGTGAAGCTTCCAACCAGCAGGCGGAATTATTC